TCCCTTTTTTGGTCAAACTTTTTACTATACATTCCAGAACATCTAAAAATTGAGATAACCTTCAAGGGCAATGCTTTGCGGGCAAACTTTTTACCCCACAAACCGGCAAACAAATTAATTGATCATAGACTAATTGATTAATCAATTTGATTAATTAATTAAATGATGAATTATTTGGATAAAATATACGCCACTGGTTATTAAAAAAATTTACTTTTCTGCGTAAGGGCTGACTGTAGTGAAAATATGCTAACTATATTTTTTGTAGGAAATTTTCGTCTCTTTAATTTTGCTCACCACATATTTTCTCGTAAAATGCACAGTTTTGGAGGTATCGGCGGAAAACCGCTTTTGACGACCATCTTGGCAAGATGGCGGCCCCGGCCGCAAGTTTCGATTTGTGCATTTTATGAATTTTAGTTCTACGCACCCAGCCATACAAAATTTCAGTACTTCCCGAGTTATTTCCAGGTAAAAATCCTCAATGACTGGCCTGTTAGCAGAACCTCTAAAAATTGAAATAATTTTCAAACGGTATGTTTTGCTGGCAAACTTTTTACGGCACAAACCGGTACAAACGTAGCACTAACCAATCCACCTAGTTGACCTAGTCTCGACATTTGTGCCGTCAATGTTCTGCTTCAATGTAAAATTTAGCGTCTGCATTCAGTTAGGGCAGTTGAATTTGTTTTAATGTTATTTATTCAATGGTAGTGCTGCATATAATAAAAGATAATGTGCTTAGTTGTGATTTGTAATTCTTCGCTTTATTGTAAATTGTATTGCCCTCAGCTGCTTGTAACTTCGGGTAGATAACCCTAAAATTTGCTTGTTTTTACTTCAAATGTTATTAACAAGCTCCTAGCGAGTTTATAATTTTGCGGTGTCTGTCCGTCAAGTCCGTCCGTCCGTTAGCACGATAACTCATAAATGAATGGACCGATTACGATGAAATTTTGCAGGTAGATTCTTTATCAAATGTGTAGATCGGAGTTCGTGAATTAGCAGTGTAGACCAAAAAATAAAGTAGGCCCTTTTGACATGTCCGTTATTATGAAGCGAATTGCATGAAATTCAATATGCATATAGCTTTAGCCATATAAAACACAATTCCAAAAGTTGAGCCTAATCGATCAACATTCACAGTGCCCTTTGCGCATCTCGACCATTTACAGACCGAGTTGCAAACTTTCTTATTTATGAAGGTATTTAAATGAAATTTGATACATAGCCACTTGGAATAAAAGCAAATTTAAAGCCAATTTCAAAATTTGGTTTTGCGCATGCGCAGTTCCAACTTTCTTATTTATGGAGACATTCAAATGAAATTTGATACATAGCCACTTGGAATAAAAGCAAATGTTGCGCCATTTCCAAAATTTGGTTTTGTGTAGGATGTGCAGTGCCAACTTTCTTATTTATGGAAGCATTCAAAATTTCATACATATACCTACACTTTAAATTAAAAAAAATAAAACTAACATCAGGTTTAAAATTTGGTTTTGCACATGCTATAGACATACCCATGACTCAGGAGCTCGTTTGCTATATTTGTTTAATTTATTCTTATTTTGATTTGTTTAAGATTGGCCAGTTGTTGTCTGTACCTTCAATGTTCAACCCTAGAGAGGTCGCACACGGACAGTCAGTCCGCAGTTTGAAATTTACCATAATCATTCGGTCATTTCGGCTCAGTAACCGCTGATCGACCATGTACCTACCGTAAATACCTATTACGTATGACAATATTATGCAGTATTACGTTGTGAGACAGTTGTTGGGCGTGTATGCTTGATTAAAATTGAGAAAAGTACCTCCCAGAATCGTCAGAACTAGGTCGGAAAAATTTGTAATACAGTTTTTGCATTCGAAACGGCTTATGTTTGTTTATAGTATGCTAAGTATTTGGTATTTGCTAATTTCTTCACTAGAAATAAAATGTTACTTTTCAAAACAGTTTTCAATGCAATTTTAACGATAAACCACCGTATAATAACCAAAATCGCTCTAGGTGGGCTTTATTTTAAAACGCGGACTCATGCTCCGGCACCACCTATTTAACACGATTTCTCTAGGGTTAAACTCATTTAGATTGTTTAGCATCTTCCATCTTGTGTGTATAAATCTGCATTTTTTAATGTCAATAACTGTTCCGTACGTGCAGAGGTAAATCCCGGAGTGTTAATATTACTTAGCATCATTCATCTCGAAATACAACTTTAGTTTGAGGTTACCGTATCCAGGACCTTAGATACCTTCTGGACTGGAGAAGGTCCGGCTAATTAACAATGTATTTCATGTACTTTATGTAAGAGACTTCGGAAGGTTATTTTTCACAAATGTTGTATTGAATTAACATCAGATTACTTCATGGGATTGTTAATTTTTGTATATTGTAGTTGTGATGTAAAATGCGTGTTTAGCCTTTTCCACAGTTACATCTCTTGCTTGGTCTCAATGATTCCTAATTTTCTTCGGCCCGTATTTTTGTCCGATGAGTTCTAGGGGAAGCGTTAAAGGAATTACGTCGCACGACAAGTTGAGACGATGTTTGATACGATTGTACCGTCTTTAGGGCGTTTTATAAAAGGCCCCATACACGGTACGATCGATCTGTCCGATCCGTCGTTTCAGACCGATCGAAACGACGAATCGATAGTGTATGTCAAGATCGTTAACGATTTACTTCATCAAATTGGATATCGGACATCGCAACAAAAACGTATGCAATCGTGAATATCGTAACGATGAATCGACAGTGTATGGCTCATTGCGATCGACGATTCGACAGGGCACGTATGACTTCTTAAATTATTTAATTACGATAGTTCGATTGTAAGCGATTGATCGTAACGACCAATCGTTTCGTGTGTGAGTGGTAAGCTTTGGGCGATCTATCGTCACGATATCGCTTCAGGTCGATCGTGATGACGGATCGGTCCGTGTATGGGGTCCTTTAGACGCGTTTATATTGAGGCGATATATCGTAAGCACCATGTGGCGACGATATGTTGCTACGGAAGTACATACAGAGGCCATAAAATCGGCACCACCTGAGCGGTAAGTACTCGTAGTTGGGCAAAGCGATTTGTCACGTACGATAACAATATCGTCCCAATTTTTATCGCTCAGGTCCCACCGATTTTATCGCCCGCTGTATGTAACTACGGGCTCAGTAGCAGTGTATCATCGCAATATATCACCTACGATTTATTACTTATCTTATATCGCGTCAATATGAACGCCTCCTTTGAGCGATAGTTTGATACATGTTGCGACTTTGTACTTTCGCCTCCCTTTGAATTTTACGAATTTGTTCAATCGCATCGCGTATCATGTATCCCCTACGATATATCGCTTATCGTAGATCGCCTCGGCATTAAAGTCGCCAAAAGTTGTAAACGACTCGGATCGGATCGGATCGATCGGATTTTTACTGAAACGCACAACTAATCCCTTATTTGCCGGATCTTAAAACCGAATGCTACTACGAAACTACACAGTATCCTGCAAACAGAGATACGGTTTAAAAATTGAAGTCTCCGTGTGTAACGTACAGATTCGTAGCATCTAAATATTTTGAGATTATTTTTGTTTTTAGGTATAATAATTCTTCTTCTCAATAATTATTGGCGTCTTAATGTATTGATTTTTTCAACAATTATTTGTGGAATTTATTTCAATGTTAACTCTGTTTCTTGAGAATTAAAAACATTGTTTTTCTCATGTTTAGAGTGCGTTTCCAAGTAGCACAGTATGAAGCGGCGAACAAATCTAAAATAGCAATATAATCCGAAGCGGCATGCCATTTGAAAATGCCGATATCAAGTTTCTCCAGAACTGTGCAAAAATCGCGGTCTCATATAACATAAAAGAATAGTTGCATTCAGCATCAAAGAAACTTCCTCGCTACGAGTTCTCATTCTGTACATAAAATTTGACACCAACGTGTATATTGTCCCACCATCGCTCACAAAGGGGATTTCGAAGGGGGAAGAAACGACTGCGATAAAACAAATAGTTATCTCGGAAACCATTTACAATGTGCGTAGTACTACGCGTAATGTAGGTACGCTTCTGTCTCCCTTAAGAAATGAACGCACGTTACAAGCGGACTAGAGTGTTCTGCTGAATGAAATAGCTTTTAGTGAAATGGAGAAGGAAATTTCTCCGAAATTCCGTCACCGTGTGCAATTATATTGTGTCAGACAACAAACTTAACACAAGATTAATTTGAAAACCCTCAAATTAACTTTCCCATTTGTGTACCTAACTCGTCCCAACTGAATTTTTGACCCACCCTTTATAGTAATGGTTTCGTTTCGCTTTGCAAATTCAGCAAATTTGAAGTATTTGTGCTGTACGATATGAATAGGTTTAGGCGGAAGTCTGACATGGTAATTCGCTTACAGAATATGAGTCATCTGCCTCTACTCCCAATCTGAGTGGGTGACCAACTTTCGTATAATGCAGGGGTAAATGTATTTAAATGCAATACAAAAAGGTTCTTGCTAAATATTCTAACAGAAACCAAAAATATAAATAGCTAAGGATTTCAGATTAAATGCCGTATTGCAATCTCAAAATGTGTAAGTATTACCGGAATTGAATTAAAAGAAAAAATGAAGTAAGTATATGTAGGTAGGTATTATTGCATCTGGCGATAGTCCAAATCGGGCAAAGTTTAATCTCAATCTGAAAAGATGATGCGATTTGATTTGGGTACACCTACTTTAAACAAATCTCATTATAGTGAAACGTGTGTAAGAGATTATAGTCCCTACACTATCAATTGCATCTTTCAAATTTTGTCTACTTACCTTAGGAGTGTAGGTACGACCCAAAAATGTAATGCATTTATTTTGGAGAAAATTGTAGGATTTTAAGTTTAGCAAATTATACAGAGCGAATTGTTTCAATCATAATCATGCACTACGTGCATTAATTACCGATGGCGGACGTATTTACCCTTATAAAATGACGTACCTCAAAGCGCTTACCTTCGTTTATACAGTTTCACTAGTGCTTTTATTCATAAACGTCAATAAACACGTACAATACATCACCGTCTACAGATGCAAACTTCACTACTGACGCCATTTTGGCCGACGCTTTCACTGCGGCGCGCACTGCAGAGACGTCGGTAACGTCTATTGGATGCAAACATCTATCTTATATTGAAAATTGGATCGGAAAACTCTGTAAGAGTAGTTCAATCGTACTTTCCAACTGCGCTGGAACTTTTTTCAAAGTTCTCTTTCATTTCGAAAGAGCTGTGCGTTAAAAATAAAACATATTCGATTAACCTCAATGGATCGAGTAACAAATTTACTTAGCATAAGAATAAATAATATAATGAAGCCTGAAAAGCCCCTTAGGGAGATCACGTAACAAAAGTATTTCGTTCATATCGATCCCTAAGCGTTTAGTGTCACGCCAAATTATAAAACCCGTTTTCGAGGAAGTGCCATTGATTCAATTACGATGAAATAGAAATTTGTACCTACCTAACTTTACGAAATAAACATTACCTAATGTCATTTAAATTAAAATAATGCTAAGTATAGGTATTCTTTGCATGCGTTTTGTTCTTCCCTCCGTTCAAGCACACTTCTGCGGTTTTGAACTACTTTTAGAGGAATAAATCCTATAGGTAGAATCTTTGTAGGTCAGCCAAAATGCCTTCGTCTCCCCCATGATTTATTTGCTTAGATGTTGGTTTGGAAAGTAACACGTGTACAACACTTTACGTGCGGCGACCAAAAATGTTGCATATATACCTATGCAGTGGCGGATTTACCTCTACCATAACGCTGAATAGACCCGAGCAAAAGGCGGCAAGGGGCTCGTTCCACTATTGGTCGGGTTACATTTTACTATCCGCCTCTGGCATTTGACAGACCTAAGCCAGCCGACTGCAGATTAAGCCATGATTAAGCCTCTAGCAATTTGCTTTTTGGGTTGTGATTCTATCAGCCATATTACAATTTTTTATTTATGGTTTAATTTCCTTGAGAAACATGTGAAATGCGTGGTTTAGGTAACAAAGACCGGCAGTCGCTTCTCAGCTGCACCTAAGTTGTTACATGTTGAATGTCAAATTTTGAAAAATTTGAGAATTAGTGATTTTCACACATATATATTTTGAGGATTTGAGATTTTGAAATATAAGGTTTTTGGGTATTTGAACGCTTGGGATGAATGACATTTTAAGAATTTGAAATTTTTGAATATCTGAAAAGTTGAAAAATTGGTATTTCGGGAAATTGACACTTTGGGTTTTGGAAATATGATATTTTTAAGATTTTTAGAAATTTTGAAAATTTGGTATTTTTGCATGTTTTAAATTTATGAAAACTTTTGGTAATATTGCGAATTTGAGCTTTAATGAAATTTTAAAATTTTAAGAATTTGGAATTTTTTGGAAATTTTAGGAATCAGCGCTTTTTAAGGTTTCAGAAAGTCGAAAATTTTTAGGTTAATGGCATTCGAAATTTGGTGATCAGCGAATTTTAAAGCTGATATTTTTGTATTTTGAACTTTTGTCAATTAGATATTTTGGGCATATTAAATTTTTAAAATATTTGGGAGGTTGGATTCTGGAGTTCTTGTAATTTGTATACCTGTGTACTTCGCACAATTATAGGGACAATGGCGAACTTATAACAGCTGTTGAGGATAATTTTGCAGAAAAACCAAATTAATATTTTATACTGGATTAAAAATATTATTGAAACGGTGGTAGTGTACGTAACCCCCAGGTTCTACGCTAACTTCACACTACAAGAACACAGAAATAAAGTCAACCCGGCGATAACATTGGCCACTCGAATGACTATTCCCTCCAGATCCCGCTTAAATTTGAAAGTGGCACGTGATCAATAAACATCTAAGGCAGGGCCCCCTTCTTACATTAGTTATAACCAACGCTATGACTTAAAGTACGGTTGGGAAGGAACGTGAAATAAAACACGTACCTACTGTATGAAAAGGTTGTTTAATAATTATTGTTATTATCATGAATATTGTGAAAATTCAGCAATTTAGTCGAAATAAATGCCATTGTAAGAATCAATTTTGAAAATAATAGTTCACCGAATAAAAACAGAAATCGAAATAGCAAAATTATAATTGTTTGTAATGATGTAAATGCATAACATAAAATTATAACAATATTAACAAAATATGTAGCATCTGGCTTCGAGAGGTGACATATACGTTAAAATCAAGTTTTGGGGACGATGGGTCGGGTAAGCATGTACCAAGATTCTAAACCGAAGATATTTTCTTACCACAGTCTCCGCCCCCGAGATAGATAGCTTGGTCCTCGTTCGGAGTTTTGGGCCGTCAGTTGATTGTCGAGATCAGTCCCGGTATTGAGTGTCGTAAATTTGGTCACAGTTTTTTCAATCCCTGTGACCGTCTCTTCAAGGCGAAAATGTTAATGGGCAAACAGTAAGTCAGTGCACATGCACAACATCAAACAATTCAATAATTTCCACATGTTTGAAGCAATATGATCAAAAATACACATCTCAGTTGGGGCCAAGGCCATGTAATCGAAATATAAGCACAAATTGTTCAAACATTACACCAAAAATGATCGTGATTTCAAACAAAAGGTTAACCGTATCAAACACATGAATCTGAATTAAGGTTAAATACAGTCAATTTCAAAATCAATTAGCATAGAAACGCACAAAAAATATAAAATGTGCTCCATACAAAACACAAGTACATTATAAAGAAATGCCTTAAATATCACAAAAAAACAACAACAAACATTTACGAAGCGTCGCTTTCGTGACCGACATTAAAAGACAAGTTGCCAAACGTAACCGGCATTGGTGCTCTCCAGATGGCGCAGGCAGCTTTTTCTCTCCTAAAAGTTGCGCGGTTACCGCGTCGATTCCCGAAGATGTGCTTTGTTCACATCGACTGACCTTGATGTGAACCTGAATGTGACTGCATTCTCGAACCTACCACATCGAACGATAAGTTGATCGAACGCAACGACTGGTCTACACCATTCGTTGCGTGAAAGTCATGCGCAGTTGCAGCTACAGGACGGATCTTGTATGTAACTGTTTTGCTTGGGTTATTAATACGGTGCCCTAACCTATACATTCACATATTTTCTGTGAAATAAAACATGGAATTGTTCGAGGATTTTCTGGTTATTAATAACAGTATCCATAATGCAAAAACAAAACAAAATACAAAACTGATAAATGACAGTTCAATTCTTGCCTGTGATTGGTTACCTCATAAAGTTTGTCCACGATTCGGGAATGCAGCTAAACTTGAACTTCTCCCTATCGTATACGATCATGACTAAGGCACCTAATACAGCGCCCTAATCATGACCATGACGTCATGGCAGCTGGTCACATCACATGCACATCACGGAGCATATCGACTAACTTTGGGAATCGATGCCCTGCTCTCAAACATGTGTGCCTGTGCATCATCGTAGGTTTTACACGGTGTTATAGACGTATTCAAAAGCATGGGAACTATATTGAAAAATAAAATGTTGTATTTTTTTGTTTTCATTGTTATTTAAATAATTTATTTATTTAAAAAAATATACATTGGGCTCTTCTGGTTACTTCTTTTGGTAGATGGCACTGCTAGTTTTCACGTTAAATTTAAACAGTTGTCTTTGAAAAGTAATCTATTTAAATCCAGTTTTGAAAAACAGGTTTTATTAGACGAAATCTCATGTGTACCCAGGACCACTGTGAAATTCTAAAAAAATTTAGTGATCGACTAATCGTATTTGGTAAATCTAAATGTATCTTAGAAATTCAAATGATAACATAGGCACAACATTAGGCCATGGGCACAACCACAAAGCACAGTTGATTTTCTTCGATCGACAAATAATTATTTTTGATAGGGGAAGAATTGCGGGTTAAAAACACCGTAAGCGTAGAATTGTACTATCGAAGAGTGAGCGAGGTAGAAACCGAAGAACGTTTCCAACCATACCGGTAACCAAATGCACGATGGTCTGCGGAGGAAAGTGGAATGCATCCACAAATGATTGGTTTATGCATAGTTTACGAACGCGCCCAAATTGAATGATCATAACCTAGAAATTCCGCTACCAATATTTATTTTAAATCGAAAAAGTTTAAAGTTATCGTTTGTTATAATTAACCATGTCGGAAAATCATGTATCCTTCTTACGAAAAGTATTTTTATCTGCGGATGTTTATGCAGTTTGCTTACAGCACGCATTAAGTACAGAAAAAGAAGAAGTTATGGGTTTACTGATCGGAGAGGTATGTTACCCCCTTTGAACGCTCACAATTCCTACAATAATATGTGTAGTTAGACCGTGAGAACGCATCATCGCACATTAGTGCTTGCGTAATATTACATCGCAGCGATAAGCAACCAGATCGTGTGGAAATATCACCCGAACAGCTCTGCGAGGCAGCAATTTACGCGGAGGAATTGAAACAAAAATTAAATCGACCAATGCGAGTATTAGGATGGTACCATTCCCATCCACACATCACTGTATGGCCCAGTCACGTAGGTATGTATGATAAATTACCAACCTCGTTTAATTTTCCAATTTAGATCTGCGAACACAGTCACAGTATCAGATTATGGAGCCACTGTTTGTCGGCTTAATATTCTCGGTATTTTCCAGCGACTCCGGTTCAACATACAATAAAGTCGATCTTACATGTTTCCAAGCTCGCGGAAACTCCGACGACAATATGCACAGGCGCGAAATAGCGATAGCAATCAGACCTAGCTGCTTACACGAATATAACTTAAAGGCGTTAATGGATTTGCCCAATATTTTAATGAAAGAGGTTTTAAGTGTTTCGCATGAGATTAACTACGGCACAGATGAATTTGCGAAACTGCACAATAGCGCTTTGAAGGCTTTACAGTTAACGGAGGTGGCCTCGTCGGTCACCTTACCAATGTGCGATCTTTTACAAATGAGATTGAATTCTGTGACGGCACGAATAAAGGAAGTGCAAATGATTAGGGATAAGTTAAAAGAGCAAGTGGAAGCGATGAGCAGATAATGTTTTTTAAGAATTAATTTGCTTGGTACCTATGTCTTATAATTAACATTATGATTTATCTTTTTTTAATAAATTATAGTGTCTTTTTTCTTGTATAATGGTTCAGGGGATGCAGAGCAGGATGATTTGTCTATTATCCTCATATTTTAATTTTTACCTTTCAATGCCCTGGTAACTAATTTTGAAAGTGATACTGTGTCCTCATTAATCAAACTGCATATTCGTAAAAACGCTCAAAATGTGTTGCACATGAAATTTTTTGCATAGTGATCCTTAATAACTCATAATTGAATAATATCATTGCCATTCGCGATTTACTGTAACTCCAAAATTGATGCTATTGTTCATGGATAGAACCATAATATAACACCTATGATAGAACTGAACTCTTAGGACTTAGACCATATAGTACTACATGGATTGCTATTAGCCCTATGCTTTCAATACAAAATGGGTGGTCACGGATAGAGGGCACTGTAGCCGTGCGTATGTTAAAGTCCCTAGCTAATCTAGGGACTTTAGCGTATGTGAATCTCAGGGCAAACTAAAGTCGTATGAACACAATGTTATATTCGAGGTGGAATTAACACGCAGAGTGAAGAAACACAAGTCATTGAATAAAGAAAACATTAAAACGTGATACATGGCTTAGTTTTTAGCGTATTTTCCTCAAAGTGAAAAATCGCTAATATTGGCTGCACTTTGACGTCCGTCCATCCGTCACACGTACTCCTTCTAAACCACTGAACCGATTTTGGCGATATAGGGCTCATTTGAAAGGGCTTGGTACAAGGATTCCGTGCATACCCATGGTATAATAAAAACGGTATCGCAACGCGCAATGTGTCCGACAACTGGGCACCCGATGGTGCATACCCGTAGGTTTTGCGCATGCGCAGTGTCAACAATTTGGTTTAACGCATGTGCGATGCTAACTTTTTTATTTATGAGGATATTTAAATGAAACTTTACATGTAAACACTACCTACGAATATAAGTAAAATTAACATTTTCAAAATGTTTTGCGCATGCGCAATGCCAACTTTCTTATTTATGAAGGCATTTAAATGAAATTTTATACATAGGCACTTGAAATACAAGGAAATCTAACACCAGTAACACCTTGAATGAAACTAAAACTAATATTTACAGGTTTCAAAATTACTGTTAACGCATGATGCTGTTGTTTTATTTGTGAAGGTATTCAATGAAATTTCTAATGTAGACAATGCGCAATGCTATTTACGAAAGCATTTATAAAAAGTTCCATATGTACACTTCGAATAAAAGTAAAACTAATGCCCATTTCAAAATTTGTATATGCTCCACTATTTTTCATTAAACTGTATAGACTTCGATGATAGGCGGCTCATTTGAAAGAGAATGGGGTAAGGATCTCTCATGCCTACCGGTATTTTTCCTGGTCCTAGCATTAATATTATTAGGAGGAAAATATGCTCTCGTCATTTATGTTTGCATAATGGCTATTTAACTTGTTTTACTTTGTTCGTACCTACGTAAACACTAGATCTCACGCCACAACTGGACATATGCGTGCCTAATAAATTTAAATGTATGTAGACGAAATACTTTTGCAAGCCAGTATCGATTTTAGGAAACTGCAGAGCAATAATACATGAAAATAATCGACAAAGGTCAAATATCAAACAAATACAAGCTGCAAAATATTTATTTATTTATTTATCCCTCCAAGGTTGAAAAGTTTGGAGACACTGCTCTAGAGTGTCAATATATAAGTAAATGAAATTCTCAGGTATAGGAAAAATGATACCGCAAATCTTAGCTCAATACATTCATGGGATTTATAATAGATTGCAGAAACCTAAATTTACAAAAAAATTGACGATCACAACTAGCAGCTTCTCCCCAGGCAACCTAAATGAAATAAAACGTGTAAATGAATCGTATTGTACAATTAATAACTTCAACTCAACAAAAAGTACAGAATTAACTAATATGGAAAACATTTATTCACATTTGATATAAAGAATATAATTATTTAGTGCTTAATTACACTATTCCTGCTAAAAGAACTTTTTAGTTTATATGTATATGGCCAATTTGCAGTGTAAAAAAAACAACAGGTTTTATGAGAAGGTCTTGGTGTACATCAATTGTAAGGTACATCTTCCTTTAATGTATTGAAGTAAATCATTTGTCTATTGCTTATAAAAAAGGTCATTTGGGTGCACCAACCACTTTCCCTGTATCTTCGTGTCCTTGGTATTTTGGCTTGCTATGCGTGAACGGAATATATCTGTATTTGATCATATGCTGCAAAAGTTACAATTAGCGCGATTACGTATAAAAGAAGCATTACCTTGATTTGTCTCTTCATTGTTATACAAAATAGGGTAATAAAGTACATAACTAAAATAGGCCAAAATACTGGAATATTGAAGCACTCGAAGAATGTGCACACTAGAGCGATTAAAGTACTTTTACTAACAGAGTACCAAAATTTAAATTCTGGTAACCTCCTAATGAACGGCCGAAATTCTTCATTCGCTCTTGTAGGTAATTCGGGACCAACATCATCTAATAACATTCACGGCGTTAGTCACATATTGGGCTCGCCAGGAAAGAATGCAGGTCACAGAGAACATACGATTGTAGACCGGGATTAGGTATTCTGTGATCGGCATTCTCTCCTGGCGAGCATTATATTTCGAATACCTCACTAGGTAATCTATTCCCTTACTAACCAGGTCGTCAACTCTGCAAAGCTTAGGACCCTGCGCCAAATTTTCGGCTAAAGAAAAATTGCGCAAAATCTCTACAGCTAGCATCACTTTGTGGTTATCTAGCGCCGTTATACGTTTTATACTAAATTCTTTGGGCTTTCGGAGGGAGCCACTTTTGAAAGAAAGGGTTATGCTCGTCGGACCTAGCGCCACAAATTGGAGAACTAGTGTGGGAGCAATTTGTCATATTACCACCGTTTTGTTTTTTATTCCAATTAACAAATGCTAGATGACCGATTTCAGAAATATCTTGGTAAACAAATAAGACGGCAGAACCTAAGCTTGCTATTTTTGACGTCTAAATTAAATTCAGAATAGTCAGAAGTTTTATTTTATTATGTGGCTTCTGCTATAAAATAAAGTATTGTATTATACACGACGATAAAGGGAAACTACTCGAGAAAATTAATTCACTTAATTGTTAAAGTATCCCTTTATCGCCTTATATAATAAACAACTACTTATTATCTCAGGCCGCACAATTAAATTTAATTGTTGGATGTAAATAATTGCATACGCCGGCCGATCGGAATTTCCTACGATCCTTCTCCGTATTTTGGGTATACGTAGCAGCACGATTGAGGGGGATATTTTGGAAATTTCACTATGCTCACGTGCATTGGGAATCTTTCTTCCGCTCTGTTTAATTTTAGAGGTAAGCGTTTGATACTTTCCCTTCCGTTAATTATAAGGGGGGATATTGCTTTGGTTTTCCTGCATTTGATTTTCTGTAGCTACCGCTAATTTACTGATGCTTTGTTGCTTGCGTATGGCAACCGATACCGTGTCCGTGTGCCGCAATTCCGTTTTAGTTTCTTCCTTAGGCCCGCCCGCCGAATTCTTCTCTCACAATGGACGCGTGTTCATACGAACAGTCCGATCGCGCGCCAACGTCCGAATTCAAGTCGTCCCTGATTGTGCGGCGTGGTTCTCACATCTGCGACTAAAACGCACAAACAATTTGTCTATACTGCTTTCTCATAAGTGCGTAAATTACAAAAAGTCCTTACAATAGGTTGCCAGGTTTTTGTTAAGAGTTCAATAGATGCGAAACAGCAAAATACGTCACATGAAAATACTTGAACGCGTCAAATATTGATACTGTATATGCCCCACGTGTCTCTGATATATGAGCTATATTAATCTGCCGGTTTGCATGGTGGGGCCTGTACAGAAGGGTAGAAAATTGGATTTATTCGAACGCGTCAGTTAATATTTAGAGGGGATGTTATGTGAACCCCATTCAAAAGATGACGATTTGAACATAACGCAAGTCCAGGGCGGATTTTAGAAAATGTAAAAAAATCACCATTGTTGTACGTAAGAAGACCGCCTTTGATCTTAGTCAACTGATATGCTTCCACTGATGAACGCCCTGAAATTTATTGACGATTTGATTTACTTCGGAGTGTGGAAATCGGCAGAACTTATTTCTTCCGCTATTCTTGAATAATTTCCTTCAAAACAAAAAACGCGCTCGACAATCTCAAGGTAACTTTTTTTTGCAAGTTTGTGACCCTCCCACTCCCTTCCGTCGCGCTCAAATCGTCAGATTATTGAAAGGCACACTTTTCAACACATAGTCAACCCACCTTGCTTTAATCTGACGCCCTCGAGTAAATCCAAAAATCTCCTATTGGTCTCCCCTACTATTTCCGTACAATGAGTACAAAAACCTTTTCAGCGCATTTTTCTATAAAATAAAATGCACCGTTTTTCCGTCCGTCCGTCCGTGTGAGGAACGAGATCGTAGAAATCTCATTTGATAAATATTTTTTTATACATTCCCCCATTAGTGCAGCAAGAAATGCTTTTTCTTATGAGATCAAATCGGTATCACATTTGGGCAAAATTTCAATTAATTACTAACTTCATCGCGGAAACTGTAAAACACATTGATTTGATGCACAGAAACTAGATTTTGTTGTCTTCCTGTCATACTCCCTTTTTGGTTAAGTTGGTAGACCAAGATCTACATTTATTCGACAATTTCGTTTGCGGAAACCGCAAAATGCATTGCCTTGATGTACAATAAATAACTTCTGTGCTCTTTCTGTCTTGGGAAAATTCGTTGGAGACGCTGCTAAAAACCCTACCGCAATAGGCAGGGGCTCGGGCAGGGGCAAGACATGAATCCTATTATTCTCACAGTATATTAATATCCTACGTATACCCAGAAGTCTAATATAGAAAAACTTACTGACGAAGAAAAAATGGAAGACATAGAACGTTTACTTTCAAATCCTGGTGAGGAGAGGGGTGATGCAAGCTTTATAATTTTAGCGCTAAATCAACGGCACAAAATTTATTCCAAAAAACAAAATGGTGGTGCTACAAAAAATTGCTTTCGTACACTATTGGGGATTGTATGGCGCTAGGTGGCGCCCTGTAGCCTCTTAATGGAACTAAATAAACGGTTAACAACTCTTGCATTTACGGCGTTTATTATCTTTACCAAAATACATAAGCTTATGTCTCTAATAATTCGCATCTATAGTTCTCCACAGGGTGTTTAAAAAAAAGGTCGAATATTCCATCTGTGTGTAGTGCTCATGAAAAGAAAGAAAAAAGTCTTAGTAAACATAGGTACGCAAATGAAGTGTTTGAGAAATAAGAGTTGATTTTGTATCTTAATTTAAATATTTTACATTTTAGACATAGACCATCTGTTACATTGCATTAAGAAACACTTTTTAATAATGCAATTTGTTAAAGACAATACAAAGTCTACTCTGAAACACTTAATTTGTGGACTTATGTTTGTTAAGGCTTTTTGGCTTCTTTTCATGAGTACTATATGTGGATAAAATATCCTACCTTTTTTTAAACACCCTGTATATGCGTAGTACCTTAGCTGTATAACTGCAATTTTCAAAGGAACACAAATGGACTGAGATGCCGATGGCGGTCATAATAAATTAAGATAAATTCATATCAGGTCGTTTTTTAAATGAAAGTCCCTAGTTAAGCTTGGCACAATAAACTCAAAACAAGTGACACTCGTTTGTGTTCAAAAATTGGCAACATTGGATAACAATCCCATTCAAATCTATTGAACAGTTATTTTTTTTATTATAGTGACATGCTTAAACTTGAGTTCAAAATGCCAAAGTTCAAGTTTCAAATGTTGTGGCAAATGTTTGAAATTTTGTGGAAATATGCAGGACATCTATAGTACGTACCTACTTTTCAGTTTGAATCTTTTTCCATCTTTACCTAAACATATAGAAACAAGTTATGTATAAAAAGATTGCACCTAAATATTGAATTAATTAGTAAGCAATGGTTGTTAATTTTCCCTCCCATATGGGTAAATGACTCATCTACATTTCCCATTAATTGTTTTAAAAATGTTAATAAATAAACAGGTAGTTACCAATTCAAGGATACTTAGATAATATCTCATTGTCAAAATAGTGTGTGATTAAGCACCTGATGATGGTTTCTGGGTCACTAATGCTATATCACATTTACAATTTGTCAATCATTTTCTGAGAACACCAACTCATCATAATTGTAGTCGTACCGTAACCGAGACTATTGGTCTCTAAGCGCATGAGAGTTGTCGACCATTGGCAGAATTATTCTAAAAACTTACCATCAAAATCCATCGCTGGGTCAATTTTTGGTGTTAAAAACGCTATAAATAAATTTAAATGATAAATGCCCAAAGCGTATGTGACGATGTACCACCCCTACAAATATTTAACGTTATAAATGGGCTCTGAGAGACTGCTTTAAACTGAAAATTTACATTTTACAAGAAGCGGTGGAAGAGACGGGGATGATTATTAAAATAAAAAAAATACCTGGGTAATAAGAACCCTTGCCAAGAACACACACACCAGAATAATGGCAGATATCCATCTCGTAATAGGCCATGGTACCGTCTTGTCCACCACTCCTTGGTACCACTAAAACACATTAATACCTGTTTAGTAAATATTCTTATACCAAACACTATAAGGACGACTATCGTTCCCAACCAACGCCACTTAGTATACGGCGTCCAACTATCCAAAGTACCTTGGTATATCTACAGCAACATTATTTAGATAAACATAATACTTGTAACAAAAAAATTTCGTCAAAAAGAAAGAAATTTAGCAATTTTGTTAACGTAAGAAGTTAGCGGAAAAGAGAAGTCTCGGTATAAAAGTAATGGTACCTGTGACAGTCGTGTCCATGCTTGCGATATAACGCCTTTTCGATTATTGGATGATATTAAATCTTCCTCCATCATTTTGCCTTAAATGAACTATCTGAAAAGGAATTTAAAAGTTTAAAAGTCAACCATTGGCAACCGATAGGTATTGGAATGAATTAAGCCGGTTTAATTAAAAGTACAAATTACGCACCTATACACAAAAATTTACAACTAGTAGGTAAGGTACACAACGTTAAAATTGCATTTTTATATAAATATTAAATACAAGCTCCACGTCAATCACTCAACGCTTGTGTGACACAAGATCACATAATTAGGGAATTTAATTTTTTTAATCGCAAATGTTTGCATGCCTCAAGTTACTAGCAACATTGCCAGAGTTATTTAGATTTCAAATTTTTTGTATATGACGTGTGGATATAAGTGCCTATTGTATACAATGGCGCCTTGTCATACGAAGCCAGTGATTTCAAAATTCCATCCTTTGAACTTGTATGCCCAAAGACTGATACCATGGAATTTATAACCATCAAATTCAATGCTGATACCGGACCGCGCATACAATCGCCTACTCCGTAATAAAGTGTTGACCACATATGTTTAGGGAACACACCATACACGTGAAGGTAGTTCGATTTTTACTAGACTTATATCTTAAAAGCCGTAAACCCCACAACACATGACGTGGATAAATATGTGGGTGTATGGGGATGGAATAAATATTAAATTTTACCTGTGAAATGAGATATTTGACCCCTTTTGAGCTCTTGCAGTGCAATTAAAAGTTGCACAAGACATATTCATTGCAACTTTAAATTCAAAAGAATCGTATAAGATAATGTATTGAATTTAAAGTTGCAATGGTTACGTCTTATATGCAGCCTTACAGATGCCTTTAGTGCGACGGAGATTTGGGTAATTGGTTATTAGATAATTTGAAGGGTGGGGTGTTTCTGTAACTTTTTTCGTTTTTCGTTTCGACTTGGGAAATTGAATAAGTAATACTTACTCAATGCTTGGGCACATCCCATGATTTTGTTATTTCGTTTGAAAACTTGCGGCACCGGTAAATCGTGGGATTTGCGTTGCGGAATCAGCAAGACATTACTCCACGTTGAGTCGTTTATGACAGTCAAGCAACCCGATTGGATACATACAAGTAGTTTATTGGAAGAAAAAGTTAGCGTCATATGAAGCGTGTCAATTGCAAAAGTAAAATGGTTGGTTGTTCTGGGAGAATCGTTGCACTTGTAAATCACCGTATAGGTTGTGCAAAATTTGCTTTAAGCCGGCCGAAAAAAATCACGTCGAATCGCTAGCACAGTTCGATCACCTGTACTTTATCGCAGAGTGTTTTTATATATTGGTAGAATCTTAGACTTTTCTCTAAGAGCAGAACAACTGCAATAATCGAGAGGGTGTAATATTTGCGGAAAACGAACAATATCGTAAGATTTTAAACACACGAAATTAAATTCTGTTACCATGAAAACTAGAGGAATGGCCTTATTTAGTTTCATGTGGTAATTCGTAGCATGTATGAAACAGTTGATTGTGTGCAAGAAATATGTTTCTATGACATTGACATTTACCATCTAATTACGTAATTTTGAGTGAGCGAACTTTCCATTGAACTTCCAAAGGTGCCATTCATTATACGAGACCTAGGGTTTTGTAACAACTATCTTTTTCAAAACCCTTTGGACAATCAAGTTTTAACGACTAAAGCCGGATTTATAGTTCCGTAGCCGTAAGAACGTAAGAACGGAACCGTAAAATCTTACGTTAACGAAAATTATACGATTTATAGTTACCGTAGTGGTAAGAAATGAGCTTGCGCATTAGTGCGAAACGAGATCTGCCATTGTATGTCACCTGTCAGTAAGAGTGACGTGCATTTCAAAATAATAATAACCAACAAAGTGTATAATTATTGTAAATTAAACGAAACGAACGTCAGGATAAACTCAACTGTTTGAATTATCCGAGTACTACCGAAGACAAGCGCGTTAGCACGATTTGCCGTAAGAAATAAAATTTGGGCATTTCCTACGTACCGTAACCGTTCTAACGCAACGTTAACGCGAATTATAAATGTTCACACCAAACAAGTGGGGTTTAATTCCAAAAGTTACGGTACAGTGTTGCGGGTACGGAACTATAAATTCAGCTTTAGAGATATCGCCATTAGTACTGCTGTGTGTTAGTTTAAGGGAACCATTTTTTCTTGTATTCAAAACAGTAATCAACCGAGATAATGAATTTCGCTACGGTTCGTTACAGATGCATGTATAGAAGCTTAGAAAGGTAATAAATTGACTATATTACCATGGACTAAGTGTTTTTAGTGTATGCTGTTACCAAAGAGTAATATGGTTACTCTTTGCTGTTACTCATTTTTCTTGATGATAAAGATATCTACGTTTTACAATTTAAACTATTGTGATCCATGACAATTATATACAAAATGTGTATATAATAACTTTCTATAGGCCACCATCGGGTGACATTAATACATTTCTTGAAACGCTAGAATCCGTTCTGACTAAAATACGAAATAAGAATTCAATAATCTCGGGAGATTTTAATGTGAAGTTTGGTACGACTAACGTAAACGCTGTGAAAGTGGGCGACTGTTTTAGTTCTTTTGGTTTTTTACAAACGATAAACTCAAACACCAGACTTAACAACTGCATCGATAACATTTTTATTAATTTCGGCTTCAATGACTATTTAGCCTGTTCGGTTAAGGCGTATTTGTCTGATCATCACGCGCAATATATTCAAATAAAATTACCGCCAAACAATGATCAAATAAATAATGTTGTCTCAAATATCTACCGACCGATCACTTGGCGTGGTTGTAACGTAATTCATAATATATTAACTAACCTAAAATTTAATTACATTGATAATCAATGTCAATGACAATGACAAATTTAATATTTTTCTTCAAAATGTGGTAGACGCCCACAATATAGCCTTCCCCGAAATAAGCCTCAAAACCCGAATCCGCGACAACCAAGTCAAGTGGTTCAATTCTGAATTAAAGCAAATGCGGGAGACATTGAAGATGCTTGATGACTTACACTGTAAATTTAATGATATTTATCCCAACCTGTCTAAAATAAAAAGGGATTATAAGCGGCAGTATAGAATTAACCTTAGAAAATATAAAATCAGAGCCACCGATAAGGTAATCTCAAATTCGACAAACACAAATAAAACAGTATGGAAAATCGTCAATGATAACTGCAACCGTAAAAATAAAAATTCAAAAAATAATTGCAGCATATCCCCAAATGAGTTTAACGACTACTTTGTTAATGCCGCAAATGAGATAATTACCCATTTACCTGTCGTTAATGAAAAATTAATTAAAAACAACGTAAATTGCCCTCAAAATGTAAATTTTAAATTCAAAACTGTGTCACCTAACCACATTCGTAACATTATCCGATCCATGAAATCTTCTAAAACAAAGGATATTGACGGTCTTTGCTCATACGTCATAAAAAAAATGTATCAAGCTTGGTTTCACCACTAACAAAACTAATTAATTTATGTATCTCCGAAAGTGTTTTCCCAGAGAAACTTAAAGTAGCTAAGGTAGTGCCGATTTTTAAAAAAGGCGACCCAAATAAACCGACCAATTATAGACCCATTGCTCTTTTACCGGTCCTCTCAAAAATTTTTGAAAAAGCTCTTGCGCTACAAGTCATAGACTATTTCGAAACCAACAATCTCTTCAACAATCAGTTTGGCTTTAGGAAGAACATGAGTACTTCAACAGCAATTTCTAAATTCACTCAAGAAACACTAGACGCCTTTGAAAACAAAAAATACTCGTTATCGATCTTTTTAGATTTATCAACGGCTTTTGATTGCGTTGCGCACGATATTTTACTTCAAAAGCTCACAAAATATAACTTTGATTCCAACAGCGTTAATTTAATACATTCGTACTTAAAGGGCAGGTATCAAGCAGTTAACACTAATGACCTTTCAAAGTTATTGCCAATTAAAGTTGGTATCCCCCAGGGTAGTATATTAGGTCCGTTGCTTTTTATAATTTACATCAACAACTTTTCAAATTGTCTGAATGTAGATAATAATATCACTATCACTCATTATGCTAATGATACCACGATAACATTAAATGGAAAAAACTTAAATGAATTAGAATACTGTAGCAACGAGATACAATTCAAGGCTCGGGATTGGTTCGCAGCAAATCAGCTGCTTCTAAACATAGATAAAACACAGCGTATGATTTTCACATTAAAACAAACCCAAGAAGAGGAAAATACAAAATCGGTATCTTTTTTAGGGGTCACCTTAGACAAAAAACTAAACTGGATAGAACACACGAACCAGCTAGCAGCAAAACTAACTACTAATATCTTCATGCTAAGAAACCTAAAACTATCAGTTTCGCCTCATGTTTTGCGCGTAGTATACTTTTCCACTTTCCACTCCATTATGTCGTATGCGGCTCTCAATTGGGGACATTCAGCTGGGCGACATAGAATTTTCCGATTGCAGAGGAAAGCTATAAGAACAATTGCCAACATAGGGTATCGCGAAGAATGCAAAGACAGTTTTATAAAATTAAGAATTCTGACATTACCTTGTCAATTTATTTACCAATGTCTAATACATATAAAAAAAAACATAGCTCAGTATACAAAACATAAAGATCTACACCATTATGAAACAAGAGACAACAATAACCTCATAACAGATCATTTTAGGTTAAAGTTATCACAAAATGGCCCAAACTATTTGTCTCACAAATTTTATAATAAACTGCCCCCAAAAATACGGTCTTTACCACTACACCAATTTAAACTAGTCATCAAGCAACTGTTGATATCTCACTCCTTTTATTCTTACGATGAGTTTTTAAATTGTAAACTTTAATGTAAATTGTAACCTGTTTTAACTTCACTCCAGTACAACCTTGACATGTGTAAGTACAATATGTATAGCAACACGAATTATATATTATTATTATTATTATTGCCACATAACACACACTTCCAAATGCAAATTCGTTATTTATTTATTTAAATCACCTGTTGCCAAATTTGTTGTCTCTGTAACTTCAGGAAACTAAAATGTTATTTACTTACATGATTATTCAATAAAACATCTCAAGGTTATGTTTAGTATAGTACACTCTTTAATAATCACTCTGTATTAAAATTATTGCCACAATTTCAACTAGGGCAACACTGTAACTGACGTGTGACAATCCACCGAAAGAGGGAGGTTAACAGTTAACACGCAGCTGTCGCCTGTCAAACACTCAAACGTCAAAATAGTATATGAATATAAAAAAGCACATTAATGAACAATATTTAAGTTATTTTAATTTTTAATTAGAAATGGATACATACGAAAGCGTGTTATTAGTAAAACCCGAAGTATTTGTGTTTAATATTCCACCTCGAACAAGTAATAGAAGTTACAGGTATGAGACCTTCAGAAGTTTTCACTTCCTTTATTCAGATATCAATTAAAATCCACCCACTCAAATTCCTTATCTGCATCTTTCGGAACTGTACGTTCTGTGTTACAGGGCAGCAGACTGGAACTTGGCCGAACCATCGTGGACAGGACGTATGCGATTGGTATCAAAAGGGAGTGAACTTTCGATTAAGTTGGAAGACAAAAATAGTGGAGAGCTATTTGCAAAATGTCCTATCGATACTTACCCCGGAATAGCATTGGAATCAGTTTCTGACTCTTCGAGGTATTTTGTCATTCGCATCCAAGATGATAATGGTTATTAACTACATTGTTTGGGCACGAATAATGTGGAAATTTTTTAGGACGAAACGCATTCATCGGTTTAGGTTTTGGTGATAGATCTGATTCATTTGATCTTAATGTTGCACTACAAGATCATTTTAAGTGGTTAAAGAAAGAGAAGCAGATTAGCGAGGAGCCCTCCGGCCCGAAATTAGATTTACAATTTAAAGAAGGCGAAACTATTAAAATTAACATGAAAATTACTGTGAGTTTGAAGTTTATCGACGCAACAGGTTGCTAAATATTATTTTCAGAAGAAAGATGGATCAGAAACGTCAAACAAAATGAAGGCTAGACCGGGCACGACCTCTGGTTTATTGCCTCCCCCTCCAAGCGGTAGCACTAGGCTTCCGGCACCTCCAGGTTGTTCGCCCGCCGGATCCCCCGCTCATGTGCCGAAACCCGATTTGATCGGTGGAGAATCTTGGGGAGAATTCGCATCGGCTCAATCTAGGTAAATATTTCTAATGCGCTTTCGTTCGGCTACATTGTTGTTTTAGTGCTCCACCTGCTACATCTCCAGCAGCTAACAATAGTAATTGGGTTCAATTTTAATCTCTCTTATTGGAAACAAATTTATATAGGAATAGATAACCAAATTTTCGATATTGCACTACCACATTTTCCGTTGACAATATTATATTTAAAAAGACTTCATATGTGCACATGATAAGCGACGGCAGTTATACAAGATTTAGCCGTAATAGTAATCTTAATGGTGTTCGGTCTGATGTTAACGATATATTGAAAATTCAAAGAAAATAATCATGAATGTGATCTGTTAGATAAAAAATAGTGTAGATTAAGTTTAAAATGTTTTTTAGCTTCTTGTTTATAAGATGGCTGCAGTATACTGGGCCTAACTACGAATTTTCGCCTTGTGTGTTAGATCAGGTGGTGCAATTTTCATGTATAGTGGTTTGCATATCAAAGATTATTAAAATGTAGAGGTACCATTTTGAGATGTCCTATGAATATTACGAATCGTTATAGCTTTATGTAAATGTAACTTTATGATATGTTTGAATGCAAATGTAATGTTATTATTTTGTTATCTGTAAACAAAAGAGTATGAAATCTTTAGTAGATATGTATAATATTTTTAAAAACGTTGTATGGACACTTATGTGTAAATATGCATAATAGCCAAAAGTATATTTGAAAAAATAAAACATTCCAATTGAAGAAAAATTGATATTGTTACTGTTAGATGTATAATAATAGTAAAGAATGGAGTAGGTAGTTGAAAACTAAATTTTTATAACTTATAATGTAGTACCTGTAATGAAGAAGTAAGTTGAGTTAAAGGTTCACCTTAAAAAGTTAACCCACAAATAAAGAGCAAAGAAATACATTTTTGGAGTGTTTATTTTTTGGTCTTGAATTGATATAATTTTTTAAAAATTGCAAACGATTACTACAGTGGCGTAGTTTTTAATAATCATTTCCTGAACAAGGCAGATACCTATGTACAAAATGTACCATACTACAATGGAAACATTATCCGTCCTACTTTTACTCCATGGTTCTACCGGTGGTTAGAGGCATATATACAAGAGATATGGTTAGAGGGTCGCCTATACACGGTGTCCATTTTTCGAGTGCCACTATGGAGATCTCATTTATCTTACGAGATAGAAAGTTGGTTAAATGGGGGCAAAGTTGTCAATGCTAGGGGAAATGTTTTCTTAACATTCGATACTAATTGAGAAACTGGCACTGCTGAACTTAGTTACACATAAATGCTTATGCAGTAATTCAAATTATAAACATTTCAGGTTAAAAGTTGCTTTATCTTTACCTTCTTATATGTCATATTTTTGACTTGATAATGTCATTGACTAAGCACTTGATTTAAAATTGTGCAAATATGAATGTATATTCTCAATATATATACCTGCAATATCTAAACAATTAAATTTGGATATTGCATGAAGCTTCTGTGACACATCTGGCATATTTATGGAACATATTCAAGTGCATTTTGGTATATTCTATATATTTACCACCAACATTCAGAAAATGTGCATGGAATATGCTCATGAGACTTGTATTGTATATGCTGAAATATATTTTTGTGTGACATATTTTGCTGCTATGAATATTCTATTCTTATTCAATGCATATATAGGTACGCAGATACACAGAATATCTGAATATGCATTCGAAATATTCTATGCATATTAATGTTTGTGCTAATTGGGCTGATCTCAATACACATCACAAACATACACATCGACGTGCAATATAGAAGATTAGTCATTATACATTATAGCGATAAGAAATGAAAGTTGACACATTCTTTCCGGGAAATATGACGTGTTTGTGCGAGAGGGTTCGAGAAAGATGGGGGTTGAATGCAGTGTGTATAACAGCAGTTTTTAAACACAGGCACTTGGGGTTTTCGTGACCCGCCTTTGCCACTTTTTTGTCAAATTTTTAATATCACAAACATAATCAGTCTAGCTACGAAGAGATTGACTTTTGGGACGTTATCATACCTTACTGCTGCCATTGTATTTATAACTATATTCAATACTATTATATTATTCCATATTTTTCAAAATTTTGGAATTTATTTATTATCCCTCTCTTGTTCTTCTTGCATTGTAAAGAAGTGTTAAAGCGTATTTTCTAATTGAATCCATTGTGAACGATAACGGGAGATCAAAAATGAGTTGCCGTCGAGTGACCTTTGCAAATTCAAGTTAAGTACGATTTACCATGTACACAAAAATTTTAAAGGTGACTCGACAGCAACTCATTTTTGATCGCATAATGTTCTATCACAGATTTAAATATACTACAGATGGATCATGAGATAGGCGATTGTGGAAACACAACAAACGTTCCAGTTGCTAGCGCACCTATATGAATTTTATTAAATCGAAAGTTTTAGTTTGGGTCTCAGCTTAAAATAATCAGCAGGAGTCTGTATAACGATGGCATAGAAGGTTTTTACTATTGATGGTGCTGAAAAGCAATATGATATGATATTTTTTTCTTCGTAATTAAAACAGTGGGTCTTTGTATTGTGTGTTTGTGTTCAATTACGACCTTGTGTGGGCGTATCTGTGGCCGTTCTCTCTCCTTAATTTAAATTAATAAAATCCAAGAACAATTTTTTTCTATAGAATGGTAGTTTCAGTTTCAGCCTGAAAATTAAAATTCTGTAATCAACTACTATCAATCGAAAGTTTTGATATGTCTATACGTTCATTCAAGGCATCGCCAAATGAAATTGAAACCAGGTGTAAAATTCTTGCAGAACAGCTTTTTACAACTACCCGAAAACTTCACTCGTTATCTGTTTCTTTATTTTAACTTAATTTTACTACCCGCATGTCAGTCAGGGAGGTATTGCAGTGGGGTAAAAAATGATCCCTCCCTTTTTTGACGGGAATACATCAAATACATGTTTTGAGGCACCAGGAATCCGAATCAAACAAAATCTCGATTATGTATACAGGGTGATTTATATCAAAGTTGTATTTTTTTAAATAGAACTCACCTATATTATTGCATATTTCGATTACTTAGTCAATTTTAGTGTGACTTTATTTAAACATGATATCTAAAATGAGTGGCTGAGCGTCATTTTTTCAAAAAATAAATGTCCAGTAAAAATTGAAAACGAAGTTTCCATAAAACTTAGAAGGCCATGACGCTGCAGTATTACTGATCATCATGTGTGCTTACCTACATACGCCGAACGGTCAAAGTTAAACTTTTTTTGTGCTAAAAGAAATCACTGTAAATTTTCAAAATTTCAATAAAAGATAACTTGATTTTTTTTAATGAAACTACCAAGTTTTTTATTGCATCAAATGTAGGATTTGATTACCTTTCTAACGATATAAGCACGCCGTATTTACCTTTTATACATATTTTTGTAATTCAACCATTTCTAATAATACACAAGGTTTGTCGATTTTTAAAGCCTCTCAGTAATTAATAGGCCGTTAAAAGTTAAAACACCTATTCTAATTATAAAACAGGGAGTTATATTTAAAAAAAGTGCAACTTTGATTTAAATCACCCTGTATAACAATTGCAATTTCGTTAAAAATATTTTTAGGTTGTAGCCTGAAGAGTCCTTCAATATGCCCCGGCAATGAATTTTAAATATTCTTTTCAAATCCTAAGTATTTAGTAACCGCGCACTAAGCTGCTGTATTTCGGAGAATTTAATACATATATTTGTTTGTAATAAAACCAAATTTGTGTAGGTTAAACCAAGAAAAATAATCTCTTTCAAATAACTAAATAAAAAATTTAGCGCTAGTATGTATTTGAAAAAAAGTTTATTTGTAATAAAACCTAGCATAATTTGTATAGGTTGTACACAGAGAAAGAAAGTCTTCCGAATAATTTAATAAAAATTTTGCGTTATTGCTATAAAAAAAAAATAGTATGACGTTTACATCCTTTATGCCTAATCTGCCAACCTATGTACGTACATAGGTACATACGAGTTAAAACAGACAGTAAAAATTTTTATTCTTTAAAAGTTGCTTAAAATGATCTAAAACGTTGACGTTTGATGAAATTTTGATACGTCCAAAAACGGTAATCGCAATATAGCCACCCCGCGCTTTTTGACAGCCCGTACGGATTTACTACTATCTCAAAATATATCGAAGTACTTTCTTCACTATTTTGTTCCGCATTATCATGCAGCCTTAGAAATTCATGACTATACCAAGAACAGAATGGTTCCACGTACATATCGTGGAAATTGTAACGTCTACTGCGGTACTTCCCCAATATAGGGTCTCAACTGGGATGTGACATTTTCGATCTCACAGAAATTTGGTATCTGCGTCTCTTTAAGAGAAAAATAACGAAACCAAAATGGTTTTTGAAAATTCGAATTTTAACTGCAATTCTGGACCAGACATAGGCCTACGGTAGTTTTTAGCACATTTTTGCAAGGTAGGATCGATGTCAAAACTCTAATTGCATCTTCATTTGTTCTTAATAGAAGCTTTTCATATCACTTTGGCCGGCTGACTGGCTGGCAGCAAATGAGGGCCTGTAGACAATCGCATGTAGAAAAACGAAGAGTGTACGTGTCCATACGGGGTCGTGTAATTAACAACTTTAGGGACGGGGCTACATGATGTGGGGACGGCGACATCTGGGCGCCATTCCCACGCGTGGTTTACTAACGTGGTAATTTTTAGTTTTGCCTATCTTCTTCTACAGGTCGAACCCATAATCGCACGTCAAGATACAATTTTACAAGTCGTACGACAAAATCGTATAATGTGAATCTTGAAATATTTGGTTATGGCAACTCCCAAGTCGCAAGAGAAATCGTAATCAAAATCACATAACGTAAATTGCACTTATATAAGAATCCCCCATTTACACGCTTCTAACTTGTATTTGAACTGACCACAAATTTTTTTAAAGTTTCGTCAATAAATTACCAGTGGAACGGAGAAGAAAAAATAACTTTTTGTCTCATAGGCACAGCCAAATTTTCCCTTAAAGCCTTGGGCGATTAATTTAACAGCCGCAATTGCAGATATGCTTTGTGCCTCGATCTTTAACAGGGCTGCGCGTGTAGGAAAAACAGCCAAATTTCGGAGCTGAAATTTTCAAACAATTACTTCAAAATATTCAGACATTGAGATACTCAAAAAGTACCTAGTGTTTTCACATAACAATAGTTTGAAAACTCTTTCGAATGCAGACATCAATGCTAGGCACCTTGTTTTAATGTAACCCAACAGTTTTTGATACTTTCTATCAGCTAAGTCGTAGAACTCTTTGAGTATTTTTCAATGCGAACACTATAAATGTTAAAAAAATAAGTCAATTTTAACAATGGTGAACTCAAATCAACAATCCCTATAAGTTTTGTTTTTATTTCAGGGACGACCTCCATTGCAAAGGCTTTGTTGACACCTTTTACTATTTTTGCCACCAAAATTACCTACAGTTACCGTTGTCTCCACAAAAACCCCACAACTTTTGATTTTAAATCATTTAATGTTAATATACTTCCTTACAATATTCAACGATTATATCCGATTGGGATCCAAACTCCAAGATTTGAATTTGCGCGTCCTTCTGTGGTCAAAAATAATGGACCAAGACGAGAAACAATTTTGTAGAGCCATGGTTTGAGGCAAAACCATGTTTTCTAGAAATAAAACCCCGTTGTGATTGTCGTGAACAACCAGCATATATAAGGAAAAAAATCATTAATCCGCATGTGAGCAAAGGCGAAGAGTGCATTTTCAAATTTGTTTTTTCGATTTTAACAGCCCTTATGGACATTTCATGCCTTAATGAGAATACAAAAATGAAATAACAAACAGACAGACAGGTAGACATATCAAGAGCGCCAAAGTGTGAACATTTTATTTTTTGAAAGTGAAAGTGTACTAAAAACGGAACTGTCACGTTCAAAACGGGACGTTTAGTCACATCTCACATTCGACTCATATTCGCTTACTTGACTTAAATTCTCAGACGCCTATTGTTAGGTACCTATGTTGTTTCTCACAAAGACAGGCCTAACACCTTCTCTGATTAATTAATAAAAACTTCGTCTACGTCATAATTGTGCTTTTAGATCGTCTTATCATTAAAAATACTATAAAAATCTAAATACGAGCACGGAACACGCCAAGCTGTGATCAGAGATGTAGGCATTAGAACTTAAATCGCACAAAATACCGTACCTACTTATAATCAAAAATAAATCAATTATACGGTAAACATCCTGCATAATTACAAATCTTGATGGTTTGACAGAATAAGGTATAATCAGTCGTCGGTTCGCCCTTCCGAGTTCCGATATAAAGGAATGTGTATGTGTAACTAACATAAACGCATGCTAGCAGAAAAATTGCGAGTGTAAATGGGGAAGGTCAGTTACATACAATACAACATTTGTTGGACTCTGTGTAATCAGATACCCCTGTTTATCACAACAGTTCTTGTCTTTCTTATTGCAGTTGTAAACCACGCGCAAGTTATTCATTCTACAGCGCTTCCTTGTGGACGCGGAATAACACTAATTTAGTTTGGATTTAACGCACCAGAGGCTTAAATCCAAATCACCGTTGCCAGAATTTCAACATGGCATTATCCATCTGTAGTATATTTAAATCTGTGGTTCTATCTATGGTATGTCTGTTCAGTTTTATTCCATCAGCTGTTGGCAATTTTTTGTTGTTGTTGTGCGTCACCAGTGGCGTACCTTCATTGTATACTTATTGTATAATGTAATGAATTATAATGAACAGAAAAGATATGCATACATATATGACGTGTCGGCTCATTTGTTGTGTCGTCAAGAGTTGTGCACAATTTCTACCTGTTCAAATACGTTTGTATTGTATTTACGATTTGTTGTACCTACGGTTGCTGTTTTAACCTGACGCCAATGAACTGTAGGGGGCCATGTTGCTACATATATTAAGGAGATATCGCTATGGAACGAAAATTTACTCGCTGAACGATTTTAGTTCGTGCATAACTACGAGTACAAAATAAGAGGAGGGAATGTAACAGTAGTGGGAAATACCATAGCACGCGACGGAAGTCACCCCATTTTGCGCTGGTCAGTTATGTTGACTTGACTTATGATAAAACATAACAGACGATGTCAGATTTGTTTTATTACGGCACTGCAAATGATGATGCGTTTCTCCCCACCCATCACTAATCGTTTGGCCGCTAGAGGGTTTTCTGGAATTTAGTCGATTTCCTTAATGTCCCATAACCTTCTTTTTATTAAAGATAATAGATTTCGGGACAATCTTTCTTAAAGCACTTTTTTATGTAGAATACATACAGTTTTTTATACAGGGTGTTTGGTTTTTCTTATACGACCCTAAACTATATTTGTTCATATGAACCACCCTGTTAATTAAGTTTTTGAAGAGCGTAAAATTTCCTAAATTTTGATGTATCACTTATTGAATTAAATTAATTATTTGCAATATTGCATTTTATACATTAAAGATTTTTTGTAGGAATCTAGGTTTCCATGGCGAACAAAAGATGAGAAAATTGTTTAAAACGGTAATTTCGTGGTTACCACCTATTTATTTATATATTATATGACTTATTTTGTGTTATTTGAAATTAAAAATATTTTGAATCTAATCTACACTTAATTAAAAAATTGTCTTTTTTAGACAATCCTGCCATCTTTAGTTCGCCATGGAAACCTAGATGTGTGCAATAAAAACTATTTATTGTGTAAAATGCAATTTGCAAATATTATACCTATATAGGGTGGTCCATACGAAAAAATATATTTTAGGGTCGTATAAGAAAAACAAAACACCCTACATAAAAAAGGACTAAGACATATTTTGCCAAACTCAATTATCTTTAATATTAAGAAAGTTATGCGACATTAAGGAAATCGGCTAAATTCGAGAACCGCCCTCTAACGGTCAAACGATTAGTGATAGCTGAATTCGGTTTGTGCCAGTGATTTTCTTTAAAATTGGGCTCCAGACACCTAGGTCCATTTTTGTCTTATCTCTTAAAATAAAAAGTGTTTTCATAAGAAAGTGTCGAATTTAGACCACCCTGTACAAAAATTATGCCAGGTTTCGATTACAAAAAAATGAGAAAAAAATGTTAATGTTAAAATCGAATTTTTTGCACCCCTCTTTAGGAATGCGCCATCTTGGAGTAGGAATGTTGAGTAAGCAGTCAGTGCAAAATAAGAATGGCTAGTATACCTGCATATAGGAAAACAAGGTTTGTTATTCTCACAATTTAATGTATAGAAACTTAAGAGGATGATGAGGAAATGAATATGCACACTTGAAATTTACAAAATACAAATTACTTCCATAACTTCTTGATGGACATATTCTTCTCGGAATCTTTCTGCATCACTTTGGCAACCGCCATTTCGAAATCTTCCTGTGTGACGTGAACTCTACGTTCACGCAACGCATACATCCCTGCTTCAGTGCAGACACCCTAAAAGAATTGCATACGAGATTGCATATCAATGTGGAAGATATTAAGGTATAATGCAGAAAAATTAGTGTTAACTTAATGAGTAAAATTTAGATATTGTTTATTATTACAATATTATAATGGTAATAAATTTTTAAAAAAGGTATGTTTCATATCATTTTTAACTTATATCAATAAATTACACTTTGTGCTAATTGAGGTTGACTGTACATAATTCAAAACTTACCTTAACTTCAGCACCACTTGCGCCAGGCATCAATTCTGCTATCTTCCTTAAGTTAATACCTCTGGTTAAATTCATTTTTCTAGAATGGATTTTGAGAATATCCAAACGAGCTTCTTCATTTGGTGGAGGAAACTCAATTTTACGGTCGATACGCCCTGGCCGCAGTAAAGCAGGATCTAAGATATCAATTCGATTCGTGGCCATTATCACCTAGACATACAAATTAGTTGCCACCACCCCTTTTTGGCTGTATTACTTTAATATTCTTAGTAGCTTCAAAACCGTCCAGTTGATTCAGAAGCTCCAGCATAGTCCTTTGGACTTCAGAGTCACCACCAGACCCGGATTCAATACGTGACGATCCAATTGAATCTATTTCATCCATAAATATAATGGACGGCGCATGCTCACGAGCCATAACGAATAGTTCACGCACCATTCTGGAACCTTCACCAATAAACTTTTGAACCAACTCCGATCCGGAGACACGAATGAACGTGCATTCTGTGTGATGTGCGACCGCTCTCGCTAGCAGAGTCTTTCCCGTACCTACACGTGCAAAGTAAGCAAAAACGCAAATTACAACGAAAATGCATCACCTGGAGGACCATACAGAAGAACTCCTTTTGGCTGAGCAATACCTAAAGCATCAAATAACTCGGGATGCTTCACAGGCAATTCAATAACTTCCTTAATTTCTTTGATTTGTTTGTCCAGGCCGCCGACCATTTCATAGGTAGAATCGGGAACCTTTTCCACCATCATAAGTGACACCAACGGATCAACCTAATGAAAAGTAGAGGATTTCACATGGTTCACAAATCCTACTACACTATATAAACGGCGTCCGTATGGGGTAGTTACCCTCTTAAAAAAAAGTCCGCAACGCGGATATTTTCATCAAATGCATGTGTAAAATTAACTTATTGGGCATGGATGCATTGCATTAGAGTATTTTCACATAGAAATAGGTGCATAAATAACAATAACAAAACCGCATTATTTTGATCAATGATCTCAAAATCGATAAAAGTAAACGCACTTTTTATACAGGGCGTCGCACCAGATGAGAATAAGTCAGAAACTGTTAAAGATAGCTATAGGAACATGTATTGTCAAAATATGCCCATTTCGATTATTTATCTCATGCAATAGTAAGAAAATGGTCATTCCATTAAAAAAAACTAAGTTTTTAGTCATAGAAGTTTCATAAATTTGGATCTCCATAGTGGCGGTCGTACGCAACTTAACTTTTTTTTAAGTGCACTAAAAGAAAGCCCTATTCATTCTCTATGCACTGATAAAAATAGGTTGCCATGACTACAACCGTCATTTTTTTTTCTTAAAGTCAAAATAACATAAAAACCATAAACGGCTGATATTGACATATGGGTATCAAAAGAACTGAAATTTCACGAAGAATCCAAAAATCCAATAAAAAATAGGGGTTGCTATTTAAAATAACGAAGTTACTATCTACTTCCGGTGTTTCCAGAAGTGCGGCAATTTTGAAAATATTTTACATCGATTCGGCGTACAGAGTAACTCCTAAGTACAAATTTTTAAAAACCTACCTATTTTACTTTCCCAGAAACGTTTAACTAAAGCTCCCAAAAAAACACCCCGTATATTGCGAAAAACAAACCTCAGAATATTTTGAAGATTTGAAAGTATACTAATGTATAATGTCAATAAGAGGAATTCGTCTTCGTTAGTTGGCCATGACTCGTCATTGCCGCAAAAAAAAACAATCGAACACTAAATAACTTCTTACCACTTAAAAAATAGCATAGAAAAAATATAAAATCGCCAATAATTCAAAAACTGAAAAAAAACTACTTCATAAAGGTTACTCCTATTCTTTGTGCTTATTGCTTAATAAGGTATAACAAAATATCTGAATTTACTGAAAGTGCTATTAAACAGAAACTATTTGTAATTATATTTGTAATGAGCAGATTGAAAAAATACTTTCAGGGGTTTGGGATAGTTAATAACAAAAGCCCCCATAGCATTTCCACGGAACAAATTAAAATCTTACATTATCTACCTACCTATCTAGTACAGTGCGATCATTACGTCAATTACCTTATTTGGCAGAATCTTGTGAAGAGTATAACTTTCATTTCGCAGTGCAACACGACAGTTAGGAGTAACATTGTTAATGTCGATATTCTTATCGATATCAACAACAAACTTTCCTTCAGGATGCACCTTCACCAAAACCTTCTTTTTATCCATTGGTTTGACGACTTCCCCGACATAACTGCCTTGCTCTTGTAACAACATGAGCTCCTCACGTAACATGCGAACTAGGTCACATTATTTACTTACAATTTTTCAAATCCATACTCACCTTTCGCATTGAGTTCATTACGTTGAGCCTGTAAACGGCGCAAATTTTGACTCTTTTCGGCCACGATTAACTGGAGCTCTTCGATTTTTTGAATGTAATACGATCGAAATCCTTCCCCCTTTGAACCATCAACTTCCATCTTAAATTTGCAACAAGAATTAGACAGTTTTCGTAACCTGTTTTGCAACACACAGGTAAGTGAGTTTCGGACATGGGTGAAAGGGAAACAGTGTTTTGATACCAAGGTGGTCCAGACACAAAGGATGATATATGGTTTGTAACTTGTGGTAAGGAATAATAAGAGCCCATTATGGAAAAAGGTATATAACAAAATAATTTTGACAGAATAGGTAGGTTGTTAAACAAAGGAATATGCTCAAATTGAACTTGGATACTTACCAAACTTATAACAGTCATTTTGATAACTGTTAGAGCACGGTAAACTTTAAAATATTAACAGCACACCATACAATTACGGTTCACTTTTTCAAAATTACAAATTCACATAAATTGACAGCAAATGTCAAAAATTGAACTTAACCTAAAACTTTAAGGTTGATGTGGCTCCATTATGTGACGACCACAGAAATCTTATACAAACTAGAACGCTAATAGTAAAGTCACTATAGTCCGTTTTTAAACTAAGAGGAGTGATTTAAATAGCGCCCGCGAAAAATCTGCATTGTGATTGGCTTATACGGCGCCGTTTTTACACAGACGCAATTTGAGGATCTTGACAATTCAGTTGACATCTTTATTCGCTGTGTCATTTACAATTGTGTTATTCGTATTTTATTTAATTTTGCCTTTTTCGTGTGTTTTAACTCTTGTTCAAATTTCAATTAAACAATCAGTTCTTATTAGAACTAAACCGGGTACCTGTACTTGATTTTGTTGGTGCAAATACTTCGAAATATGGATTCCACGCCAAGTACTTAGTAAAGCGAACATTTCACCTGTAAAAAAGCGTACGCGTCTTAATTTGGGGCATTTATCGATCTCAGAAAAGCAGTGCATACTCGACTTATATAAACAGATGTTAAATGATGACCCTGGCACAAAGATAGTTACCATTGTTGCAAAAATTGATGAAGGCGCAGGTAAGAAACGAAATACACATTAAATGTTAATTTAACATACACACTTTTTTATATAGGAATTGCAAAATCCACGGTTTACCGAATAATAAAGGAGTATAAGAAAACGAGAGCTGTAACCCACCTTTGGTATCGCAATTTGACGATAGCATAAAATCATCAGTTCGTCAAATTATTCACAACTTTTTCTATCTCAATGAACTTCCCACGTTGGACAAAATCAATAGTCGTGAAGATTTATCACAAAGTGTCCTTCATCTACTTGAACGTGACGACATAATAAGATGGAGACGAAAGCATTTAAAATCTATTAAACAATATAGGAACCAAAGACGAGTCATATATTACTTAGATGAAACATGGTTAAATGAAGGCCATACAAAACAGTGTGGACTGATGATAACGTTCGTACTCGACGACAAGCGTTTGAGGAAGGATTGTCTACCGGTTTAAAGAATCCTTCTGGAAAAGGGAAACGTCTCATTATTTTACATGTTGGCTCTGAAAACAGTTTCGTAAACGAGGGTCTACTACTTTTTGAAGGAAGAAAAACTTCCATTATCACGAAGAAATGAATGCGGAAGTGTTTGAAGAATGGTTTGCATCTTTCTTAGTGAAAATTCCTGAAAATGCTGTAATTTTACAATATATTGTAGCTAGCACCTTTTGATTTTATAAAATGATTGCATTTATGTCTACATAATAATTAAAATTTCTTGTCAACCAAATTGTGTAGGGTAAAGTGTATTAAAAAGCCATAAAAATGATCAACACTGCATTTTTTTTATAATGTATGCCTTATGTAGTAGGCAACCAATAATGCACATGTGTACGTATGTATCATACTTAAAACAATTGCCCAAAAGTTACTAAATTTAGTAACTTTTTCGGATGTAAATCAGACTTTTCAATTTACTCCTCTAGTTTAAAAACAGAGTATAGATATAGAAAGTACCGCAATCATCCGCCATTTTTAGGCAAATTTGCTGCCAACTTAAAAAAATTGACAAATAAAATCTGAATAGCTGTCATTTTTTATAACCTAACTTCATAGTACTGTCATGTTTTATAAAAATATATACAGATATCTCCAAACAGGTGGAACAATCCCTAGCATTAAAGTTACTAGAATCTGGTAACTTCCGCCATTTTTGGGCAAAAATCATGCGTTCTCTCTCTAACACACGAGCCCAATGGATTGCGGTACTTTCTGTATTTAGTGACTTTAGCTAATAGGTATGGGATGCGCGAGAACAAAATGACACAATTTGAACGGTGAAAATTGACATTTGGTGCACTCCTGAGTTTGCGCATTGCGTGAGCTTACAGATCCGGTCTCTGAATTCGCCATTGTGATAGTTGTTATTTCGATAAGAGCGAATAAAATATCATAGAGTCTTGTTGCAATAAATACTGTGTCATCAAATTATTCCTTAATGTCGATGTAAAAGAATACCCAAAAGTCCTCACTTCGTTATCTGGCCCTCGATATGTAGCTACTTCCAAATATTTTCGAGCCGGCCCTGGCTATTTTTAAATTTGGCGGCTCCGTTTTGTCTTACTGCGCAAACTCAGTAGTGCACCTGTGCGAATTCAATTTGGGTCAATTTCTTTACATTGCATTAGCATTCCATTTTTTTTTAGTTCAGTGGTGACGACCGGTATCAACTTCCATTGCATTGTAGTAATATACAGGGTGTAGAAACGGTTTACGCACCATAGTGATTTCAATGAGAATTTCTTTATATCGAAATATTTTCTCCCAGCTATAGTGGAACGCGCCAAATTTAAAGAATTCTTTTCAACATCATTACCAATTGTACGTAACTTAACCTAGAGGGGTCGTTGCGCCAAACTAAAAGTAGAGCTCTGAAAAGGTAGGTATGCTCGACGGCCATTTTTGACCCAACCTATGGAGCGAGTAACGCTGTCAGCTGCTTATGTATTCAAATAAGTTCATACAAGTGTCGACTTGCTACCCAAGGAAAATGGCGCAAAAACAAAAATTAATACAGTTCTTTGCTTTTATATTTCAGCCCAATTTTTAAATTGAGTGTTTTTATTTTAATGAGTGAAAAGAGGTAAAAAGGTTTATATGAAAAACATTCAAAATTTACATACATTTAGAAATAGGTACAAAGTTCGGAACTAATTACAATTTACAATCTGGTTTCTTTTTCTGTCGAAGAACCATATACTCTCACTTTTCGCATTTTGGAACTTTTAGAGTAGTTCTTTACACAATATATACGTACAACAAAGAAATTCCTTTAATTTAATTGAATGTACCTACACTCGTTTCCTTGTACAATGATTTCCTAGGTAAAGGAGTAATCCTTGGGGGAGGATTTGGCACATCGAATAATGTGGGCACTGCATTGGGTTTCAGTTTCTTCAATTTGTCCTTTCGGCAGGTCTCAAACTGATCCTCTTCAAAATGTACCTACGAAAGAAGAAAGAAACAAATAATAAATTAATCATAATTTAAAATTTGTGGTAATATTCTAAGATATCTACCTCACAAATACGTGAACCTGTAGTTGGTTGCCATTTATCAGGTCCTCGATCTCGTCTCATGTTTTGCACCCACTTCGACCGCCGAGGCTCATCTGCTGGGATTCGGTATAGACTGTATACCGTTTCTCAGATCGGTTACTGCAATTTGGAGCTGCACAGCAGGGCATTTTTAAAATGCTTTCTTGATAATCTGCCATAATAATATACGTGATAATGTAGGTATATGATTTGAATTGATGAATTTGATAAACATGCATGTAAGAAGTTAACCTAATTTTACAAGAAATGTTTGAGTTGGCAAACTTTATCAGAAACACATTTAGGGGCAAAGGCAACACATTCCTTGAACAAAAAGAATAACGACCAAGATCAAGTAATGTAAATAGTTTACCTTATTAAATTAATGTAACAGAATTTAAGTAAATACTTATTAATTCCTTCTTCCTACCGCACGTTGATATATAACTACACCAATTCGGCACTACACAAGCAATATTTATACTCCGAAAGAACGAAAATGGCAATACAACCAGCTGACAAGGCAACTCCCTCCATTGGCTGGGTCCAATATGGCGATCGAGCTTACTCACATTTAGAGAGCCTTACTAAAAGTAACTGTTGATTTCGCTGCACGAACCATTTTATACTTACTGTAGTTTCGCCTAATTATTTTTTGGTACAAATTTTAATGTAAGGTCGTTAAGGTAAGCGTAGTCACTTGGTAATGTCCTTATGTAATTAATGTATTGATTCGTTAAGCGTTTTCCCAATAAAGACTACAATCAATCAATGTGGTTTTTATTTTCCCTCCTATCGCCGACGAACTGAAACCAGCCCTGCATCCCTGCGGGTGTTCCGCAACAGAGCCCGACTCACTCCTTTACCAGTATTTCACAAAATTTTGTAAGCGAACATCTAACTTAGCGTACCAAAAACCTTACAAAATGAAGGACGACAACACTGCACTACCTTCCTGAATAATTTGAAACGTAATGTTTGGGAGCACCTTGTATAATTATTATGGTAACCATAGATACAATTCTCTACAACAAAAGTCAATGTTCTGTGCAGTGTTTGTTAAAATAACCTCATTCCTATTTCTAAAGTCGTCTAACTTCGTAGATATCAAATAGTAAATAGAAATAATTATATAACTTTTCATAAATCCATTTTTAAGGGACAAAATGTACAAGAGGGAGACAGGAGGGGCCAGGCCTATGGCTATAGCAGGCCGGTTTGTAAGAGAACGAGAACGTCTTATCGGCATGACGGAAGCGGAGAGGGCTTGGCGTAAGCAGTGGATGCAAGATCAAATACTATCACCAAATGAACCTCGGCACGTTCCCGAAATGTATAAGTTTCGATTTAACATTTTCCGACGAGCATATAAGGCACCCTTAAATTATCTGGAAAATATGTTAGAACCTGTCATAGGCAAACGAGCTCATACATTAAGATTTTTTACGGGAAAAATATTTCTTTTGTATTTGGCAGGAATTGGAGTCTTGTATAATTTAAAGTATAATCAGAATGATTGGACCCGACTTGGCGGATTCAGAATTTTGGAAAATCGACCTGCTGTACTGCCTGGTGATTCATCTTTCCCTAAATTATCTACCAAATCGAACCCGTCTGAATATGGTTCGAGAGGTTTTGAAAAAGTAACTTTAAATTTGTAAATAAATCATTCATGTAGTATGCTTAGTATATTATTAATTCAATAAATACTCTACTTTGGTATGTCGAAGTTATTTAACCTGGAATAAATGAGGTTAGGTTATGACAATATCTTTGTAGTGTAATAGAAATGAATTCAGAAGGAAAATTGGAGGAATCGCCCTCAAATGTAAATGATGAGAATGTTGCTCAAGAAGAATTATTTAATGGAGTTCCAATTTCCAAACTAACAAAAACTCAAATGAAGAAATATAAGCGTATGTTGCAATGGCAATCTGTTAAAAAACTGAAACGGGCAAAAGAAAAACTGAAAACGAGGAGTAAAAAGATTGAAGCTAAAATGCTCAATATTGACATTGGACCTAGCCGAAAGCAATTGAAAAATGCAAAAATGGCGAACAGTTCCTGCAAAATTGGTGTGGTTATCGATTTAAGCTTTGACGAACTAATGATTAATAAGGTATGTGATGTCATTTAGCTATAGTTACAGTTCTATCATTTGTAGGATATGGGCAAAGTTATCAAACAAATTCTTCGTGTTTATACGGAAAATCGACGAGCAAGTGCACCAATGCAGCTGCACCTGACTAGTTTTATCGGTCGCTGTAAGGAGGAAATGGCCAAACATAATGGGCACGAAAATTGGGATATGCATTTTCATGAAAGTAGTTATTTAGATGTATTTCCTAAAGACAAATTGGTCTACTTAAGTAGTGAAAGTGATAATGTGATAACCGAGCTCGAGCAGGAGAAAGTTTACATTATTGGTGGATTAGTGGATCACAACTCTCATAAGGTGCTTTATCCCTTTCTGTGCCAAATGTAATGATTTATTTTAGGGAGTTTGCCATCAAAAAGCTGTTAACGAGGGTATTGCCCATGGCCAGCTGCCTATTGGCGAATATTTTCATTCTGTGAGCCGAAAAGTGTTCACTATTAATCAGGGTAAGTGTGCCACTCTGGAAAAAAATATATGTAATCAGTTTGTGCTGTATATTTTAGTTTTTGAAATCTTACTTCGAGTAAGCGAGGGGAAGACATTCAAAGAGGCCTTTGAAATGATACTGCCAAAGAGGATAAATATGCAACCAACTTTAGATAATTCCGAGGATGATTCGAATAATGAATAAAGAAAATAACATAAAATACCTATTGTTTAATTCATATTTTGACCCCCTGCTTACCCAAATAATTAGGTTATAAATAATGTAATGAAATCACAATTTGTTTCCTCTTGTTCTATCAGGTTCCTGGACCTTGGCTTTAAGGCCTATTGTGGATTGTGCCCTCTAGATTTGGACTAGAATGTTCCTGATGGGAGAAGCCTTGTGACACTTCTGGGTGCATCATAATTCCTTCAAGGGCCCTGTGTAAAAATTTTCATTCCTAAATATAATACTCTTACAGTGAGGATGCAGCAACCCCTAAATTTTTAAATAGGAAAACCACCCTGTGCAGGGGTCATCGCTACCACCCGAGCGCGTTATTGTATTTCGGAAGTCCGTTAACAGTCACACAGACGCGCCACAAGTTCCGCTCCGTGTAAAGACCGGAAGACAGCATATTTTATGTCTTAGTAACATATCATAGGACATTTTATAAGTATCTGTTTCTTTTTATGCCCTATAGCAGGCCGGCCATGGGCAACCTTTTTTTCCAAGGGATTATTATTCTACCTCTTCTTGTACGCGAAAATAGTACTTTGTGTACCAAGGCGGGAAAGTGGTTGTTTTCCGGGGCGAAGGAAGATATGGCCAGGCGAGGCGCAGCCGAGGCTATGGCCACTTCCTGAGGCCCGGAAAACAACTTTCGTGCCGTGGTACACACAATATTTTTTATCCTATACACTTACATTTAAAATTAATCCCTCCACAACGTCCGACCGCAAGCGCTTGAATTTGGATTTGCTTTAACGCGTGAACCTGCACGCGTTTGTTTTGTTTATTTCCACGTTTCCTGCTGACTACGCGAAAAAATTTTACGAAACGGTGCAATCTAAGTGGGCCCACGAGTATATTTTTTACTCGTAGATTTACCCCTTTCCCTTATAATACAGTTCAACGCAAATTCAAATTCTAGCGCGCTTCCGATTGCACAGTGCGGAGTCACCGAAGGGAGTCACTGTGCAACAGAGCAGAGGTGCAAGTGGAGAATACCGATCATGTGCGAATGAGTTGACATTTCCGGCATTTCACTGGCGCGTGATTATTTCCTTAGAAAATAACGGGATTTAAGGGGATTGTAATTAATACCAGGCGCATTTGAAATTATTACTGGTCTTGTGTATTAACAAATGTGTTTTAAAATTGAATGTGTGTTTTCAGGGACAAAATCACACCGGTTACATTTTAAATCCTTGGCAGGATCCATGTCTTGTCAAATGTTAGATGCTTTTAAGACTGGATTTATGCTTGGTGACGAACGCGCAATGGGCACACTTTAAATCCTTGACGATCTTGTATTTTAAAAAAATGTGTTTTATAATAGTACATTATATATCAAGGTAGAGAAGTCCACTATTATTGCCTGAGCACCAAGATTACATCTCGAGGCGCTTGCGCCGAGGGGTGTAAGGTGCGAAGGCAATAATAGACTTCTCTACCGTGGTATATATACTATTTTTTTCACTACTAGCACTTGAAATCCTCTAAATTAACATATTATATTGATAAGAGAGTTAACGGTTGGACAGAATTGTTTGTTTCTTAATTTAACATGTCAATCAAGTACGTGGAAGTACAAGTCAAACAGGCCGTATTTTGTTCTGTCATTGAGATTTTTCAAAGAGTAATTTCGTTCGAATTTTTTCAAAATGTGATAATTTTAGGTATGTAATTTCTCTGGAAATTGCGAATGGTGGCAATTATTCGTTTTAGAGAACTTGTCTAAACGTTCATTGAGCGAAATTTCGGGTTGTGTTTTCTAAAAGTGACAGCGTGACAGTTCTCATTCTCATTATTGACTACTAGTTAATAATAAAAAATTATTAACCACTTTGAACAAATGCCGAGAAAGCCTACTTTACAAGTGGAAAAAAGGTTAATAATCATGTCATCAGACGCTAGTAGTGAAAAAATAGATTTATTCATTCCTTACAGTCACACTGGACACATTTTAACTTCGGGATAGTCTCGTATGTTAAAATGCTACTTATTGCGGATAAGCGGTGTTCTACTTACAGTGCAAAGTACATCTTGGTGTTAAATGTATTGACACAGATGCTCGTTATTGAAAGTAAATGGGAGATTATGACTTAAGTTTGAAACGTTTGAATTGGTCACGTGATATTGGGAAAGTATTCAAATTCACGAAACATTGATAGGTATAGGCATTGAATTTATAACTATCAGAAGCGCAGGTTAAATGGCAGGATATGTGACTGTTTTCAATAGTTTAAATTACAAGACGTAGATGTCTCTACCATCGAGAAAGATGAATAATAATGTCAGTTTTTTACCTTTGTTAATTATTATACAGGAATCTGTAATGAACCCACTATCTCGATTTGTAATTGTTGTATACAGAATTCTAGATACCCAAGAAACGTACTTATAAGGCATTTATGTGGCACACAGGATGTTGAATGACGTAAGATAAACATTCTTCCTTTCATGAATCGTGACCTTACTTAACATTCCTTAAGGAAGATTGAATTACATTTGAACAGGAAAGCAAAAAATACGCAGGCATCCTTGATCACTGTAACAGAAATTAAATGTACCTACCTATCGCTATCTATTCTTAATTTTTGTGTGTGTCGGTTAAACCGTTGCCACCGGTTAAACTACCTAAGACAGGGGTCGGCAACCTATTGAAACGGAAGAGCTAAAAATTACAATTTACAAAATTTCCCAATTCTTAAAGAGCCACAAATAATTTTTGATTCAATATTATAGTTTTTGGCTATATACAGGGTCCTGCAACAGTCCGTCGGTTTTTCCTACATAGCTGATAGATACCTGGTAAAAATATTGGTGGTTGCGGATCTACAGAAATTATTTTTGAATGTACAGGGTGTTCCATTTTTACGATGTCAATTAATAACTGATCTTTTTAAATAGAACATCCTGAATATTTGGTTGTTTCAATGCCGTTTGTTCAAAGTGCTATAACTATTCTTTTTCAAATGGAACTACCACTATTTTATTTCGCTATTCGCTTTTGTCTTCTCTTAAATGTTTATAAGGGGTGCCCTGTGCTTAAACTCCGCAGTGTTTAGGTTATTCAATATTTTTCACAAAAGTACCTACTCATTAATTAATTACGTGTTTATACATCGGAGTAGGCTGGCTATAATAAAAAAAACAAAAGAATACCAGAAAGTAAACAAGTCTCAAAAATTAGATAATTATTTGCTGCAAGTATACTTTTGATACAAAATAAGATTAATTAAAAAGGCGAATTTCGAACAAATGAACTAATTTCTTTAGATAAATACGGAGAGCCGCAACTTTATAGGTATCAAAAAAGCCGCAGGTTGCCGACCCCTGATCTAGGATCACACGTCACACCTGGCAATTTTGATACAAAATAAAAAGGTCGTTAACCTCTTTTCTTTTAAATTCTGACGTTTGAAATTTGTTCTCAATGGTTAATCGATAACTTATCGATAATTATCGATTAATAGATAGTCAATCGATAAATTTTAAAAAAATGGTCGACCGGTCAACAAAAAAAGAATTTTTTGCGCATGGGATTTACACAATATATATTCTGACTATAATAAGCAAAAATAAATAATAATAAGTGCGATTAAGACATCGAAAATATTTGCTTTTACAAAAGTTACAGCGATTTGATTGAAAGCTTTCAGGGGCGAAAATTAAAGCTGGAATCTTTGTTTTCCCTAAAAAAAAAAGAAAAATGGAGGGTGATATTTTTCCGCGGTTACTTAGCAAAGAGGAAAAAAAATCCTGGAACAGTTTTAAGGCAATAGTCCATGGTTTCCCGTTCAGTGTTTCCTGGGAAACCATAGAGCTGAAAATTATGACGAGCTGACAGGATTTGGTTTTGTATCATGGGGAATAGAATGTCTCTAAAGAATAAAGATGCACAGGTTACATTCTCATTTAGATCAATTTAAGGATAATATGGGAGCTTATTCGGAATAAGGACAACACTTTCTCGAGACAATGGAACTTAGGCACCTTCCCAAGGCCAGGAAGTTGGAAGCATGATGGAAGATCAGATTCAGTTGAACATGACAAAAACAGCAAAACTGTTCCATTTTTAAACATTTAGACTCTAAGATAAACAATTATAAATGTAGAAACGTTACCATTTAATAAATCATGCCTATGTAAGTAGGATTCTATAGGTATTTTTATTTTTTGGTTTTTTGCATTTTTTTCACACAAAAACAAATACATAACCATTTTTTGTTCTAATTCTTATTTGTGGCTATAGAAGCAATAAAAATAAGGTATATATGTCCCATGCGCAAAAATGCTGTAGACCGGTGTAATTTATCGAAAATGTTAAAGGATTGGTCGATAAACCTATAATTACCGATAATCTATCGATTAATCTCACAACTATAAACTATTAAGATAGATAATTATCGAGAGAATTTTTAACGACATACACTTTTCAATGTTTAGGTATACCAGTTTACTTCCAACAAAAGCGATGTAAGAGCATTGTTGAGTTGCCATATGATCACAATTCACAACCTACTGCTGTACTCATTTTTGAGGATTATCGTCCACTTGATCACCTTTGATTTCAGACAACTTGAGCATCAAAAGATCCTGTTTTATTTAAATTATCTCTCGCAATATCAATACCAAAAAAACAAAAATGTTAGCGAGTGTACGCATGGATGATGTAATATATCGATTGAGAATATATATCGATGAGATTTATGAAAAAGTATCGATAGTTTTCTCTTGATAATTTCCGCTACTTATTTATTAATCGATAAATATCAGAGATAGACAATTTTCGTGGCAATAATAATCGATTATTATCAGCAGCTAACAATCATTATTAATTATTTTCAAAAGTTATCGATAATTATAAAAAGTTATCGATAATTATCAAACGTTATCGATCATTATCGAAAATTAGCCTTACGATTTATCGATAATTGTCGATTATTATCGAAAGTTAACGATAAGTGATTAAAGTTATCGATAATTATCGAT